AAACACAAAGGCGATTCTTGGTGGGAATCGAAAATTATTTTAAATTCCGCTGTGCATATATAAGTAGATTCCCAACAGTTGGAGGTATATATATTTTTTAGGGTCAACAGTAGTAGACTTAGCCTTTTATAGGCAACACAATTGGAATAATAACTCGTGGACATAATGTTATGAGATCTCAACCTTTCATTAGAGATTCAAATCTAGCACCAGAGTGATAAAAGGGCATCATTATCCATTTCAAAATGAGTAATCCAAATGCTCCATGTAGCTTATGTATGCATGTTATACCTATTCTACAATGGTCCAAGGTATCTTTCGACACCTGTCATGAAACATTTTGGACAAGTCCTTAACCTTAGACTTAGAGGACTAGTACTTTGGTGAAATGTGTCACGACCTCGATCACTATGCCTAGGAATATGATGTTTTGGAATAATAAAATAATTTGATATTAAGCTTCAAACTTTAATTCGGCACGATAAGAGTACAAATGGAGTTAGATTTAAGCTTGCCTCGACTTCAACATAATGCCTTGGAGTGCAAATAGAACTATACCATAAACAACTAACTCAAGCTTCATATTACTTCCGGACATAAATGCCTCGTAACACATATGGAGATATATCTTTAAGCTTCAGATTCCCTCTCGCACAAATTCCTCGGAATACGTATGACGCAAAAATTTCAAACTTCAGATTCCTTATAGGATAAAAAACTCAAAATACATATGGAGCCAAACTATTAAACTTAAAATTTCTCTAACATGAATGCTTCTTAATATATATAAAAGGGTAATCAAAACGTCCCTACCTTTCGATGTTTTTGTAGAAAACGTCGCTACCTTTCATTTTTTGGCGAATTACACCCTCACCTTTACCTTTTTTTGCGCAAAACGTCCTTCTGTCAACTCTCCGTAAAAATGTTCCGTTAAATTAAAAGGTAATTAGCACAAAAGGTCCCTACCTTTCAATATTATTGTGTAAAACGTCCCTACATTTCATTTTTTGGCATAATTAGCACAAAAGGTCCCTACCTTTCAATGTTATTGTGCAAAACGTTTCTACCTTTCATTTTTTAGCATTTTCACCCCTACCTTTCATCTTTCATTGCGAAAAAGGTCTTTCTCATCAATTTTTTCAATAAAATGAATATTTTACGCTCCTATTCAAATAAAACAAAAAGAAAAGAAAAGAAAAATAATTAATTAATTGTAATCATAGTCCTAAATCTTTCAAAATATTACAGATAAATTCTAAACTTTCCACTACCACCACTTTCATAACCCCACCAAGCCACCACCTATAGATCCATATAGCACACTACCTTTCGACCACAACACCTATCGGACTCCACCACCACCACCATCAGCCTCACCTCCTCTTCCCAATATCCTCCTCCATAGTATTGGTCACCAATTTGTCCAAAACAACCACATTTACGATGACAGAGTTTGGAGGGAATGGTGGCAGAAAGGTGATATTATGTTGATTTATAGTTGGCAGCTTGATAGGTTGTGAAAGTGGTGGTGGTTGAGAATTTATGATTTCTTTTTAATTTTTTAAAAATATGGTTGCAGTTGGTTATTCATCTTTTCTTTTTGTTTTATTTGAATAGGAGGGTAAAATCGTCATTTTATTGAAAAAAATGAATGAGAATGACCTTTTTCGCAATGAAAGGTGAAAAGTAGGGGTTCAAATGCAAAAAAAAATTAAAGGTAGGGACGTTTTGCACAATAACATTGAAAGGTAGCGACCTTTTGTGCTAATTATGCCAAAAAATGAAAGGTAGGGACGTTTTGCACAATAATATTGAAGGGTAGGGACCTTTTGTACTAATTACCTTTTGATTTAACGGAACATTTTAACGGGGAGTTGACAGAATGACGTTTTGCGCAAAAAAAAGGTAAAGGTGAGGGTGTAAAACGCTAAAAAAACGAAAGGTAGGGACGTTTTCCACAAAAATATCGAAAGGTAAGGACGTTTTGTGCTAATTACCCTATATAAAATCAAATCTTCTAGCTTCATATTTACTCCGACATAAAATGCCTCGAAATTAATGGAATGAAATCTATTATGCTTCGATATTCAAATCAGTATGATACTTCAGAAAAAGAGAAGTTGTACAATAAATATGATAAGACTTTACAGTTCAAAGATTTCAGCACTAGAAGCAAGGAAATATCGTAAATTCTTTATTTTTATAACTATGAATTTAGATTTGGGGGACAAATGTTACATATAGAAATTAGAATATTCTAGATGTACATTGTTCTTTTCATTTAAGGATAACATTCTTCTTATGTTTCAAAATCTGAATAGTGGATGTTGAGAAAATCAAAGACTATAAAGGTTATTATGTGGAAGGATGTCAAAGTTAATGTAGACAATAATCTACATGTAGCATGTCTGTAGAAATTATTACAGCGCACTAGGATCCATGTCAACCACAAAAAGAGTAACATCTCTTGCCCATATATCATGAAATGAATATTTATGCCTTAATCA